ATTGGCTGAAGATATTGAGCTTTCCCATCACCTCTTGCCACAGATGTAGTCAATCTGATTCCTGTGTACTCCATCTGGCAAAGTCCACATGTATAGCTGCCATTTGTGTTGTTGATAAAAAGTATCTGCAATGAATAAGTCGTTGGTGTTGCAAAATTCTATCATGCAATCTCCAGTGTTATTTCTGTCACCAAGGCCAAATTTTGCAAATACAGGTGATTCTTCTTTGGTTCCAACTTTTGCTTTCCAGTCACCAGTGCTAATTAACACATCTCTATTACACATTTGGTCAATTTTAGACTGCAGAGGTTGATAAAGATCTTTAATTTCCTCATCTTTGGCTTTAGCAGTTGGTGCTTGTGGTCTTGGCTGGGCCTGGTTGGGTGGCTGAGCAGCTGGCAATCAACTCTATGGTGGAATCTACCACAAGCAGCTGAGTAGATGCCTCAGGGATGTGGTGTGCTTCCTGTATATAAGGAGAAGCCTTGGGCATGATCTCTAGCTTATGTCACACTTGTATCCTTCATGTTGTCATGTTGTTCAGCAGCCTCCCATGCTCTGCTGACCTTGGAACTTACAATGGACTTGAATTAATGGCCTGCCATGTGGTTTGGTAACGTCAGGATTGTGCCATTTTATTTGTCGACCTTGGGCTTGTTAGCCTCAGCAGCCAGTAGCTGCCTGAGTGAATAGATGCCTCCAGCTTCAGTGGGCTGGGAGCAAGAGGCAGAGCTGAAGCCTAAGGTGAGGGGCTTTCACCCAGCCCCTAGAGCCTGTCACTTTGAACTCAGACTTGTAGCCTCCGGAACTGTAAAAGAATACACTCCTGTTTGTTCAAGCCATCCTATTTGTGGTATGTTCTTGTCAGAGAGGCACTAAGCAACCAAACAGTGCATAAATTTGCATAATAGTAGTATTAACTGATCTTCCTTATAGGTGTATGGATATTGTTCTATCACGGGCAGCATTATACTTCAGGACAGATCTTGAAACATCCTTTGTGATGATGAATGCCATGCCATTCCTCTTCAAATTGTCATTCCCGGCATAGTAGATTATATGGTTGTCTGATTCAAAATGGTCAAAACCGGTCCATTTCAGCTCACTAATGCCTAGGATGGGAGCTCTGGTAGCATAGTGGCTAAGACACTTGCCTGCTAACCAGACGGCTGGCGGTTCAAACCCACCAGCCACTCCTCGGAAGGAAGGTTGGGCAATCCTACTTCCGTAGTGATACTGCCTCGGAAACCCAAGGAGGGGTCGCTATGAGTCGGGGCCGACTCGACGGCACATAACAACAACAACAGCAACAATGCCTAGGATGTCAATCTTTATATGCTTCATTTTATTTTTGGCAACTTCCAGTTTTCCTAGATTCATACTTTGTACATCCCATGTTCCAATTATTAATGGATGTTTGCAGCTGTTTCTCCTCAATTTGAGTCATGCCACATCAGCAAATGGAGGTCTTGAAAGCTTTACTTTCTCCATTATCAGAAAACTTGGTTCTACTCTGGTGATGCAACTCTTTCCCAGTTATATTCTTAGTGCCTTCCAACCCAAGGGGCTTGTCCTCCTGCACTGTATCAGACACTGTTTCAGGGCTAGTCATAAAGTTGCGCAGTAATGTATCAGACACTGTTTCTCTGCTATTCATAAGGTTTTCCCTGGCCAGTTCTTTGAGAAGTGGATGGCTTCTTCCTTCTTCCGAGTCTGTCTCAGTCTGTAAATTGCACTGAAACCTGTGCACCATGTGCAACCCTGCTGGAGTTTCAAACACCGTGGCACACCATCAAGCCTTACAGCAACACACAAGCCACCACAGGATGACAAACTGCCAGACAAGTTTGTCTTCCTTAGCTGTTGGAAACCTCTCTGCTTCCTGCCTCTTGGGGGTGGGGCCTGTATCCCTCCCCTTACCTGAGATCCCTGCTGCTGCTCTGCTCTGTCTGTGGTCCCTGCGCTGGAATATGGGGACAGCAATTCAGAGATTGTCCCTGGGCACCGCTGCCCAGGTGCTTGCTACCTTCGCTGAGGAACATAGTTTCAGCACTTGCTATAGTGCTGTTCTCTCTAGATACACTTGTGGCTTGTGACGGGGACCTGCTTGGGCTTAACTGATGGTGAGTGAGGAGGAAGGAAGGGTGCTTTGTGGGAATATCATGTACATCACGAGGACACCTATCTATCTCTCCCCCCAGGGCCATTCAATCCACCAGGGGACTGACGAGCAAGCTGGGGGCCCAACTGGTGTCTTGTTTAATAACAGTGGCCCTGCATCTTGGGTGATAGGCTCTCTGGGGATGCTGGAAAGCAAAGGTACCCAGAAGGGAATCCACTTGGCCAGCTCTGAACTTGCCTCCTCCTCCTTGGACTTCTCCTGACCTCGGCCATGGGTGGGAGAGGGCTGGATAAGGACCTTCACAAACACGCAGCCCCTTCCCACAGGTGCCCCTGGCCACACCTGAATCCGAGACACCCCAATCCATTTTCCTGTGCCCCAGTCACACCTACCCCTTTAGATTTGAAGCCACCTTTAGCAGCAGGTCCCTTTGTCCAGGACCCTGCTGGCACACGCTGCTGCTCAGGCGCAGACAGAGCAGAGGGAGCCCGGCACCTGCCCCCCCTTCCCGACTGTGCCCCGGATTCCTGCGAGCCCCTTGGGGGTCCAGACCCCTCTGTGGAAACCACCCTGTCTCCTCTGGTCCGTCCAGCCCCTCTGATCATCCTTCTGTACCCTCCGTGTGAGCTTCCCCAGTTCCCTGACCTGCGTGCCCCTCCTCGACCCCCCTTTCATGTTGAGCAGCCCTCCCACACCCCGAGTGAGCAGTCCCCAGCCTGCCCACCACAGTCAGGCTCCCGTCTCCTGGAGGCATCACCTTGCTCTTCAGACACTAGTGGCTCTAGCTTTAGGGGTTCCAGGCATCTAGGCCCGCTCCTTCCCCTACAGAGAGCCCAATTCCCCTCCAGGGACACAGGAAGTAGTCTCTCAATTGTGCCCCTCCCCCATTCACGATGGGGGCGACACTTGAGCGGGAACGCCTTCCCGCCTCTGCCGGGCTGCCTCTTGCAGGCGCCTTTCATGTCTGTGGCACCTCTTTTGGCTCCGCCTTGAACTTGTACGAGGTAGGGGGCAAGTTCTTCCTCCCCGGGCTCCGCCCGTGGCCCTCCTCGCCTCCCGGGGCCCACCTTGCTCTAGAGGCGGCAGCAGGAGCCGAGCTCCTCGGGGTCCAAGCCCCGGCCCCGCCCCGGGCCCTCCCCCCCTCCGGCCCGCTTACTCCCTCCGCGGCCCCGGGCGCTCGTCTCTCACCGGCGGTGGCACTGGGTCTGCCCTTTGAGATCCGAATGCCGAGTCCCACCCTGGTCGTCCCCCAGACCCCGCGCCCGCCCAGCTCCGCCGTCGACCCTCGCGAGCCTGCCTGCAGCGGCCCCGCCCACGCTGAGAAGCCCGCCCCGCAGCGGCCCCGCCCCCGGGCCTCTCCGCCGGAGGCCCCGCCCACCTGGCCGAAGCGGCCGTAGTAGCTGTGCTCCTTGGGGTCCTGGCGCCGCGGCGGAATGAAGCTGAAGGCGGACAGCGCCGACAGGGGCAGCGGCCGCGGCTGGCCCCGCAGCGTGGCGGCCGTGATCTGCTCCACGTCCTCGTCCTCATCCTCCATCCCCGCCTCGGCCATGTTCCGTCCGCCGGCCGCAGGCTGCCCGCCGCCCGAGTCCGCGCGCCTCGCGTTTTCGCCAGGAGCCGGCGTCCTCGCGTTGCCCGGAAACCGCGGACTCCCGCCACCGCGCAAGGCAAGGGGCGGGCTGGGGGCGGGGCCGAGGAGGGGGCGGTCCGGGGGCCTTGGAAGCCCAAGCTCTGGACCGAGGGGCGGGGCGGGGCCGACAGGTGGGATGGGGGCGTGGCCGGGAGGAGGGGCGTGGCCACAGGAGCAGGAGGTTGGGGAGCCTTAGGAGCGCGAGCTCAGGCCCGCAGGGTGGGGCGGGGCCTGTATGGGCGTGGTCAGAGGGGGTGTGGGCGTGACCAAGGAGGGGCGGTCCGGGGGCCTTGGAAACCCGAGCTCAGGACAGCAGGGCGGGGCGGGGCGGGGCGGGGCAGGGCGGGGCGAAAAGGAGGCGCGGGGCGGGACTGACTGAGGAGGGGATGGTTAAGGGGCGCCGAGCTTCGGGCACCGGGAAGGCGTGGGTCCGGGGCCCGGACATCGGGCAGGCCTTGGCCCAGAGGCGCGAGTCGCTCTAGGTCTCCCTCTGTTGGCGTCGGGAGCGGCTGCTCTGCTCAGCGGGTCTGGGTCCGGCTAGGAGCGCGGCGTCTCCGATCCCGGAGCGGCTCTGTCCTCCCCGCTGCGCTGGCCCCTTCCTGGAGGGCCCACTTCCTCCGCAGATCGGGCGGAGCGCCGGGTGCAGCGCTGGGGCGGGCGTGCGAGGGCGCAGCCTGGGACCACTCACCGGCCGCGTGGCCTCCCAGGCTGGTGGCCGAGGCACATTAAGCGTGCAGACCGACGACGTCAGGGGGCGGCGGCCAGCACAGTCCCTTAGAAATACGCTGCGAGCCGGGTGTAATCTCAACTTTTCCGGCAGCCACACTAGGCGGTCAAAGGGTGTGTATCTGTACTGATACGTGCATTGGACTCAGGAGGTCCTGAACCTTACCATGTCCACGCCCCGCACCGGCAGCTCCCAGGGGCTGGGCCCACGTGTTGGGGAGGTGTGGTCCCAACAGCCATTACATCAGCCGAGCCAACTCCCTCGGAACTGAGTGGCTGCAAGAACCCGGAGGACGTGGCTGAGGGCCTCCTTGGCCGCGGGCCTCCTTGGCCGAATGCTGACTCAGTGGTGAGTTCCAATTGTGGAAAATTAACTGGATCCCTTATCCTGTCAAAGAGACAGACTCGCAATCTCATGGAGGCAGGTCTCCCAATAGTAAACAGAAGAGCCACAGCGCACCGGGAACAAATTTGTCCAACAGCCTGAGGGCGCACATCAGCCATACAAGGGTGGTCCAACATCAGGAAACAATCAAGGTCACCCAACACAGGAGTATAATATAGGGAAGGAACCACACGATATCAGTTGATGCAGAAAAGGCACTTGATTAAATCCAACACCCATTCCTGATAAAAACTCAGAAAAATAGGAATAGAAGGGAAATTCCTCAACACAATAAAGGGCATATATACAAAACCAACAGTTAACATCATTCTCAATGGAGAGAGACTGAAACCATTCCCCTTGTAAACAGGAACCAGACAAGGATGCCCGCTATCACCACTTCTATTCAACATTGTACTGGAAGTCCTGTTCTTGTTATGTGCCGTCGAGTTGGACCTGACTCATAGTGACCACTCCTTGGGTTTCCGAGGAGGTATCACTACGAAAGTAGATTGCCCAACCTTCCTTCTGAGGAGTGGCTGGTGAGTTTGAACTGCCAGCCTTCTGGTTAGCAGTCAAGTGCCCTAGGCACTATGCTACCAGAGCAGCAATCCCATTACTAGGTATATATCCTAAAGAATTGAGAGCCAGAAGAAGAACAGATATATGCACACCCATGTTCATCGCAGCACTATT